GAAATCTCTGCATCCCTCTTTCTCTCCTCTCACCCTGTCCCAACAGGGCTGGACAGGAGCTTTAGCTTGCCCCACTGTGGGGGGTGTGTGTGTGTGGGGGGGGAAACGGACCCTGGAGCCTCAGCACACACATACACACACCCTCCCCAGGGCTGGAGCATGAACAGAGCCCTAGCATCCTGAGTTTGAGAGAGATACTGTCTTTTGTCTTATAGGGAGCCAAGTCAATGAGTTTTGATTAGGGATGTTAAATTTAGATGAATTAACTAATGGAATAGTCTTTCCATTGACTATTTGATTAGTCTGTAAGTGGCGTCTCTGCCTTTGAATTGTTGCAATAGTTCCAGGACCATCTCCACCGGGGCAGAGGAGGTAGAGATGTAGCAGGGGACTGGGTGTGAGCTGTCAGGCTCTTAATATGTTTTAATGACAGAGCCACAGTGGGGTTAGCTCCTGGGGCCAGGAGCTAACCCTGCTGTAGCTCTGCAGTCTCCCTCCTCTCCCCCCACACCCCATATCAATTAATTGACTAGTCGATGGAAATTCCATTGATTAGATGATGCAATGCCATTAACATCCCTACTTCACACCAAAACTTTTGTCCCTGATATTCTCCTATCCTCTTGGTCTTTCATGCATGGGGCAAGTATGCTTCTCTGTACTCTTGCCTTGCTTACTTGCATATTCCGATTCAAATCTTAATTATCACCTCACTTTATTTACCAGTCTGATAGTATTGCTTGGCAGTTAAATGATTAAGCAACAAATGTAAAAGTTTTAATGACATCTACTGTATACTTCAGAGAATATGAAATGCTCACTGTAAAATGTGACTGGTAGGGCATCAGTATGCAGAGAAGACTGACATTTGATCTCTTCTGCAGCCTATATTCCTATCTGCAATTTGCAAATGTATTAGTCATTAGAGGAAAACCAGGAATGTAGGTGTGGTTTTTTTACCTTTTTTAAGACCGTGAACAGTTGCTTGTAGCATGCTTTTGTTCAGATCAACAGGTGGTAAATCTACTATATTATATTGATCACTGCTCCAGTGGATTTGAAGGAGAAACACTAGAGAAAGCAGAACAGGAAATGCTACTGTTGCAATTAGGGCTAACAAAGGTGGTGATGACAGGCTGTTGCTGTAGGCCTGTGTGCCTCAAGGCACCTAATGCAGGCCCTAACTTACAAGTGGGCCCAATCATAGGGGAAGAGGAGTTTTTAGAAGTGCAGCGCAGCTAGGGACCAGAGTAGGTGTTTAGGCAGAGTGTCTTTGTGGTGTTGGCTCTCGTGTTCCTGGACATTCAGATCACCCTGGACAGTATGAGGAGGGCTGGTGATTTGGCCAGTTGATGAGATGTGTTTTTAAACTGCAAAGCTACAGTTAAGTTTGGTCCCAGACCCAGCATGAGCCAGGACTGAGCTGGTCTGCCTGCTCACCTTGCTCTCATTTAAAATGCAGAGCCACAATGGGGATAGGCTGCTAATCAATTATCAGTTAATTAATGAATTGATCAAGTACTCTATTACATCCCTACTTGTGGGAGTGGATTAATTGGGTTTAATATAAAGGGCCATCTAAACATTTGCCAGTAAACTGTGAAGGACACTCAAAAGTGTTGGGCCATAACAGAACAATCCTGCATTGCTGAGCATCTGCTCATAAGTGACTTCCGTCAGTGTTCATGACGTTTTGCAAGAGACATTGGGCAGCAGCAATTGTGCTGCTGATTTGAATGATTTTGGGCAAGTCTTGCTGGAGCTCAGTCTACACCACTGGTGAGGAACCTGGGAGCAGGATGCAGCCTCCCAGCTTGTCAGGAGGTTTGGGGCTCTCCACGAGCATTGCACTGGTGCTCCAGCCACCATGCTGCCTCTTCTCTCTTCTCCTCCCCTCCCCCCCCCCAATGTGGCTGGAGCACACACAATCTACTAGCCTGGACCCCCCATGGCTCTGATGTGCAAGGGGAATGTGGAGAGTGTCTGTCTTCTTCTCTGTCAGGAGCCACATCAGTGAGGGTTTGAGTTTTGTTTGCTTCGTGTGTGCGTGTGTGCGTGCGTGTGTGTGTGTGTGTGTGGTCCCTGACTGATTTTTTTTTTCCCCCCTCTCCCCCTGTGGGTCAGCAGTCCTCGACCCAAAAAAGATTCCCTACCCTTGGTCTGCACTTATGTTTACAGAGCAGCTGTGGCAGCACATTAAACTGATAGTGTGGCTGCAGCATGAGTATTGAGAGAGGTCTCCCCATGGTCTAGGTAAACCACCACTGAGGTGAACTGCAGCCTGGTTCACACTAGCACTTTACAATGTTGTAACTTGTTCATACCCTAGAGCCAGAAAGCTATGACGCTGTAGACTGAGTTTTGCCACCTGTTAACTATGAATGACAGTTTCTTATCAAGAATGTGAGAATTGATTTATCGTTTGTAAGGAGCTTTAAATATGTGAGAAGTCCTGGAACTAGCATAGGATTTGTGATACAATAATACAAACAATCATTTGGTTTAGTTTTTGTTAACCCAAAGTTGTGGTGTTGAAATGAGCAGATAAGAGATTACTTGTACAAAACACTTGCATCAAGTGGGTGAATTGATGAGCTAGCACTAGTGGATTGAATTTAGCAGGAGGTACTCTTGTTCAGCTCCTCTTTCTGTCACTCACTCTTTGAGGCAAGTCACTTGTCTATTTCTTTAGAAGTACCTGAAGTGTACTACAGGAAAAGATGTAGGGAGGAAATTCAGGGCATTTTCTGTAACTAACAGGCTGTTCACTGTGTCTGCATTCATATCTCCTGGGTATCCTGTCCAGCAGTAGCTGTAGTGAATAGGTTTACTGAAAGGAAAATATGTAGAAATGACAAATTCTAAGGTAATTTTAGAGTATCCATGGTAAAAATCTTGTGAAATTGTAATCACAATATTTACACTGGAAGTCATGATCTAAGAAATAAACATATCTGACTGACCTGGAGACAGACGCAGTATCATGTGGCCTCTGTGTCTACTCCAAAACTCACTGTAGTATCTCATACTTGCACTTAACTGCTTATAAGCAACAGCCCAGGAATTATTCAGCAAACAATTTTAAATCCCAAGCATGTTTGACAAAACTTGTGTGCATAGACAATTAGGGATCAGAAAAGAGCCTACTTTCTTTAAATATATTCATTCTGGTCTTCTAACGAGGCAACTTCCTGTCTTGAGAGTCTATCTCAAAGCATCACTCTACATATCAAATGTGGTTCTGCACCACTTAATTTAAATTATTGAGAATAATAAGTGGAAACAGTTTGGCAGATCCATTTTGCTATGGCAATTCTTTATAGGCTATTTTTGGTGATTACAGAAGTTACTTGAAGGCAGTCTGTCTGAAATTAGTGTGCATGTGTAACACTGATAAGCAGAACCGAACCTGGGATCTCTGGAGCATGACCCTCTACACTACACCTTGGCTACGTCTACACTGGCCCCTTTTCCGGAAGGGGCATGTAAATTTCACTAGTCGTCGTAGGGAAATCCACGGGGGATTTAAATACCCCCCGCGGCATTTAAATAAAAATGTCCGCCGCTTTTTTCCGGCTTTTTTAAAAGCCGGAAAAAAGCGGCGGACATTTTTATTTAAATGCCGCGGGGGGTATTTAAATCCCCCGCGGATTTCCCTACGACGACTAGTGAAATTTACATGCCCCTTCCGGAAAAGGGGCCAGTGTAGACGTAGCCAGCGAGTTAAAAAGCAGCTGGCTCTCAGCTAAGGCTGAAGTGCATACACATTCTTCCTTTCTCTGTAAGTTGTCTCATGTAGTGGCACTTACACCTGCTGGGTGTGCTGTATGGTCTATGGGTGTTATGCTCGTTCATAGATTTAAAAATCAGAGACTGTTATTCAAGACAAACTAAAACATGAGAAACCAGTGTATATGAGATCACTTTTACAGTAGTATAAGGTTGTACTACATGGCTATCTCAGTATATGGTTAGTTGATGTGCTGGCACACTTAAGCCATTGTGTTTAGCTGATTTGCAGACAATAACTAATTATTTGATATCTTGCTAATTTGTTTTCCCTTTATTATTTTACAGGAAATAATGAAAAAAGTCTGCCAAGGCTCTTGATCAGAGACCTGGAATTTGAGAAGTCGTCACTAACTAAGCCCATGTTTTCTCCTGATCAAGAAAACCATCCATCTAAAACACCAGTAAAGTATGGTGAACTGATTGTATTAGGGTGAGTATCTTATTTAGAAAACAGTGCATAGAGTGAGGTCTAATATTAGTTTACTGCAGGGTCTCTTCAATGAAAAGTGAGCCAGTCACATGGAGCTTTGAGTAGTTGTGTGGAAGGCCTGGGTTTGATTTCCTGCTACATTCTTTTATTTTCCAGGCCAAGTGAGCTATGTGGCATTAAACCTCCAGCACACTAATAACCTCTTCGGAGATCCCAGGCCATGACTAGAAAGACAGGATCTATAATAACATAAAATAAATGCTCCTTTTTCAAATCTTGTCTAGACTAAGAAACAGTGTTTTATTAAAAGCACACTAGTTAACATACTTTAGAATCCTAGTGTAAAGTAGATAAAATGTACTAAGCACATTATTTGATTGTCATATTTAGGGGGGCATTTCCTGTCTACAGTAGGGCGTTAACATGTTTTAACAAACATATTTTAATAAAACAGCTCTTCCCCTAGTCTGGATAAGCCAGAGGTAGAGAGTGGAGTGTTAGTTATCTGAGATCTCTTCTCTGGAAAAGTCATCTTGCAGTAACTGTTTCTCGTCTGAGTCCTACTTCTGCTATGCAAGAGAATTATAGAAGATAAAGCTACTTGTAACCATAAATCTTACATCATTTACCAATTTAGGGTTAGCTCCTGTTCCCTTTGAAGTTGTGAGCAGGATTGGGCCCTAAACACATGCATGGTTTTCCCCATTTTTTTTGTGACTGTACCATTTTAATTCTGTATACCCAGAGAGAGATCTGTGTACCATATTCCTCTTTTCAGACTGTTCTGTGCCGCTTTCCAGCTGCTTCTTTTTCATAATACAGTAAAACTCCGATGGTCCGGCATCTGACGGTCCGGCACTCCTGATGGTCCGGCACCATCAGGGACCCGGAAGTGCTCCGGGCAGCCGGACCATTGGAGCTGCTCTGCCCCCAGCTTCCCCGATTCAGCCGCTGCTAAAATTGACCAGCGGCTGATACCAGGAAGCCCTAGACAGAGCTGCTCTGCCCCAGCTTCCTGGAATCAGCTGCTGGGCAGGTTCAGCAGCAGCTGAGTTGGGTACACCTGGGACAGAGCAGCTGGGGTGCTGCTGGGTTGGTCCCTGCAGCGCCAAGGTT